TGTGCATAAATTTGGCATTCCTTATAACAGCCAGGGTCAGGCGTTGGCTGAGCGCGCCAACCAGACATTAAAACATGCCCTGGACAGATATATTGGCAATAGGGGAAAATGCCCCCTGGCCTCCCAGCAGTGCAACACACCGGCAGCCCACCATCCTCGGCAGCGACTCGTCATTTTGCAGCTCCACCTACTGCAGACACCTCCCGTCCACCTGTCTACTATCGCTGCTTGCCTGACTTGACGTGGCGAGGACCTGCTGACCTGCTGACCTGGGAAAGGAATTACGCTGCAATCCAATTAAAAGACAAAGTTCTTTGGATCCCAGGACGGCCTGTAGGAGATGACTGAGCTGGAGAGAGGGGTCAAACACGTCATCAGTCATGAGTTCCTGTGTGCCTACAAGAGATTTAAGGCCAGCCCCATCTTGAATGCCTTTCTTAACTCCCTCTACTTTCCATTAATAGCTCATATTCTTGTAGAAAGCTTGAACTTGCAATAAATCTTTATATTCATTTGAACTGCCTGAAATCTCCTGATTTCCCTGGCGCTGGACACTACCAGTTTTAACGGCTTATCATTTTGTAAACTGCCGAGAGTCATTTTATTTGTGGGCAGCATATTATAACCAAACAAGCAAACAAAGTTCACATATACTATTAAGAAAAAAAAAGCTACCTTGAGAAACATGAGATAGTTTGATTGATTCTCCTAAAACACACTGAAGGATGCATGAGAGGGATTTCAGGCCCACCCAAGTGAATTGTTTGACACATTAGATCAGGAGTGTCAAACTCAAGGCCTGCAGGCCAGATCTGCTCCTTGGGTGCTTAGATCTGGCCTGCAGGGCCACCCTTGAAACAGTGAAGGACCGGCCTGCAGTGTCTTTGCCAGCCGAAATGGAGCTCAGGAGAGCCATGTGCATTTTCGCTAGGAGAGGGTTGCCAGAGGCCATCACAGCCAAAAATGGAGCTTGGGAGCCCATTTTCACTGGCAGAGCGCTCGAGCCACCGCAGGCTCCCCTGATACTAGTGATGTCAAGCTGGCCATACCCCCCGCCCCCCGAGATCAAACACAACCCTATTTTGGCCTTCTAATAAATCAAGTTTAACACTCCAATTAGCTTTGGATCGTGAATGGTCCAAATCAGCAATTCTTAATTGTTTCCACCTAAATCTGTAGCACCAGCCAGGAACACCTAAAGCCAGATACACTTTTTGCAATGATGGCATATCAGCAGACCCACAAAGACCCACTCTTCAAGAAAATGGAGTGTGTTTTAATGTTTTACAGGTGTTATGCACATCCTGAATTACATTTTGTCTATTGATTCCGAAACTCTGCAAAGCCTAATAAAGCACAGGATTTAAAAAAAAAACTTGATTAGTGTCTCATTAGTTTTATAAAGCTAATATACATAACAGGAAAGTAAACCAAAGTTTAATACCATGTTTCCCTCAAATTACGACATGTCCTGATAAGGCCATGCCATATTTTTCCTGTGGGCAAAAATATACGCCCTCCCCCAATAATAATCCCCTAGACAACACCCCCCCCCCCCACGCTCCAGCCAGGAAGAGCACCACTCACCAACCTAGCAATAACCCAAGGCGCAAGCCACAAGAGCCGGGGAGGCAAAGGCGCACACATTGAAGCCTTTGGGATACCGCTAGGTTGGTGGGTGGCGCTGTGCCCATCTGGAGCGGGGGGTTGCTCTAATGAGCACCCACCCGGCAACGCCCCTTTCCAGCTGGACAGAGCACCACTCAGCAACCCAGTAATATCCCAAAGGCGCTAAGTCGCGTGGCGCTCTGCCTGGCTGGAAAGAGAGGTTGTGCGAGAACTTGTTCTGCCTCCAGCTCGCATGCCTCCCAGCCTCACCATGCCCAGCTCTCCCTGCAGGGCTGGGCCAGGGCGCCACCACAACCATAGAGCATAGTCCCAGAGCGGCCGCTGCTGGAAGACTCGACAGCGGATCTCCAGAGTTTGGAAGCCAGTTATGGTTGGAGCATGGTGGAGGTGGTGGCAGCAGGGCTGCAGCGCCAGCAGCAGTGGGGCCACAGCAGTGGCAGCGCCCTGGCACGGCCTTGCAGGGACAGCTAGGCATGGTGAGGCTGGGAGGCATGCGATCTGGAGGCAGAACAGGTGCTCGCACAACCTCTCTTTCCAGCGGACAGAGCACCACGCAGCTTAGCGCCTTTGGGATATTACTGCGTCAGTGAGTGGTGCTCTGCCTGGCTAAAAAGGGGGGTTGCCGGGCAGCTGCTCATGAACGTGGTCACCTCATGGCGGCGACAGCGCAACACAGCCATTTGCCCCTGAGACTGTGCCCGGCTCTTCGGGCACCCGCTCACAAGACAGCAGCCACCCGGCAACCCCAAACAAATAAGCTCCCCCCTCCCGTTAAGAAGGCCCAAGCAACATTTGGGGGGTGGTCAAAAGAAAATAAGGCTCTGTCTTATTTTCGGGGAAACACGGTAGCCGATTTACTAGGCTAGGCACACAGCTATACACAGAGACCCACCTTCCATTGTGTTTGTGATAATGCTTGCTATGCTCATTGCTCTTTCCCTTATGGTGGGGTCTTCTAGCAAATCCATCGATATCTGAAAAGAACTGGATTGCCTCTTTTTGTTTTCCATCTCAGAAGTAGTAGGCTACAGTGAAGTAAGAAGACTAAATTATCAACATGATTATGGAGATGTATACTAGTAATATAACCCAACACAACTAACTTCAGGAAGTTCATGGTACTGCACATGCACCTGAATCTTTCTGTACTTCTTAAGCTTAAACATAAGTCAACCATAGAATGTATTTTATGCTTGTTATATATAACCAACTAACCCTTCACCTCTACAACAGGCCATTTTAGCCTTTTAGCTTAGAAATGTCCCATGAGCAGGCTTGCATCTCAGGAGTTCTTGAGGGCTCATGTGCAAATTGTGTATGTTATTTTGAATATCTCTCTTCTATAATAATTGAAACTACATTTCAAGTTTCCCAAAGTCGTGCTTGGATCAGGATTACGGATTAGGTTCTTGACCCAGATTTTACCAGGGATCAATCTATAGCAGGGGTGTCAAACTTGTGTCATCACAGCAGTGTCATGTGACGTATTGGGACTTCCCGCTTCGCTAAACCGGGCATGGGCGTGGTCAGCGCATGACCCATCTGGCCCATGGACTGTGAGTTTGACAACCCTGATCTATAGCCTCGTGCAGCACATTTTTTAAAATTTAGTTTTGCAGATCTTCTTTGGTTCAAGTAGAATCTGTTGGCATAGTTTCCTGCTATTTTGAAATGGAGTATATATAAAAAAACCTATAATGTAAGGTTTTGGTTTTTGGTTTCTAGAAATGCTGATGGCACATAGACAAATATTAAGTAAAGAAAATGAAAAAAGTTAAAATATTGCCCAATTGAGTGGCCTCACTCAACACTATGCCATTGCTATCTCATTGCCTTAGTCCCATTGTCTTCTATGTTCTGGTGAATACGAGTCTTATTTTCTGTAGAACTGTAACACTTACAATTGAAATGATTGTGAATATTAGATTATATCTTATTTCCAAGACACAAACACGATATATGTAAATCAAAGCATGAAAATTCTTACTCGAGGTTAGAATAATTCATTTTATGTTCAGATAACCTGACACCTTTCACTTGGGAATCCAGAAAGAAAAATTAGGTCATGCAACAAAAGTCATTTCAGCAAACAGCATTATGTTTTTGAGCCAGTGCTCCTCCAGGCCTTCAATCCATTGTGAACAATTGTTTAAAAAATCAATAACAATCTGTTTCTAAGCCGAAGAGCCAGCACTGTCTGAAGATGTCTCCGTGGTCATATGGCCAGCATGACTAAACACCCAAAGTGCACAGAACGCTGTTACCTTCCCACCAAAGTGGTCTCTATTTTTCTACTTGCATTTTTACATGCTTTCAAACTGCTAGGTTGGCAGAAGCTGGGACAAGTAACGGGAGCTCACTCCGTCTGCTGTACTGCCAACCTTCTTATCGACAAGCTCAGCGTCTTAGCCACCACATCCCTACCCAATCATATTACCCGGGTTTTAATTTGTGCAGCTCCACACAAATTTAAAATTTATGTCTATCTATGTAGAGATGCACATCCACAAAAAAAATATCCATGAGCATTCCAATATGCAAGCTTAGCGTAGGCAGTAAGATTTACTGGCGCCCTTTGTGCCTTTTTGTGTGTGTGTGCAAAAAACAGTGTCTAAGAGACCTGCTGTCTCAGGAATTGGTCTTACTAGGCTGAAGTGCCACAGAGCATGGAAGAATGTTGGCCTTGTAGCCAGAGCATAGAATACCTTACTCTCTATGGTGACAAAAGTGCATTCTTGTTAAGGAAAGGCAATGAGAGATACCAGTGGAAGAATTAAAGAGACAGAAGATAGAAGAATTAAAGAGATAGAAGAACTCTGGCAATGAAAGAGAGTTAAATAGAGGTGCACAATTGGGGGGGGAGGGGTATTGAGTAGCAATAGAAATAGCAATAGCACTTAAACTTATATACTGCTTCATAGTGCTTTATACAGCCCTCTCTAAGCGGTTTACAGAGTCAGCACATTGTCTGGGTCATTTTACAAACCTCAGAAGGATGAAAGGCTGAGTCAACCTTGAGCCTGTCAGGATCGAACTCCAGACTGCGGGCAAAGCTCACCTGCAATATTGCATTCTAACCACTGCGTCCTACCACATTGTGTGGCCAGCGTTGCATCCCCAAAAGTAGGAGACCCAGATAAAGAGGTAAGATCAAGAAAAGTTTACTACAAACAAATAAAGTTGGAGTGGAATTTCACCCTTTTTGTACATTAAAGAAATCACGTTAAACAGCTGTTTTTGGAGAGGCTCTAAAGTCCATGGGGACACTTCTAGAAACAAGGTACATAATGGATCTTTTAGGCAAGGATGAGCAGGAGCAAATCAAAGATAAAGGCGCAACGAAGGAGAAGGTATTATTTGCTCAGCATAAATTAAAGGTAAGCATGGCAATAAACCCCTTTGTATTTAAATTCATTTTAATCTTGTTTTCTTTTAAATTGCACTGTGTGTATGGTGCTTGCAAATACATGCAGCAGAAGTCAGACCATTTATTTTTGGGTAGCCCAGTGTTATAACCCTGGAGAGGGGCAACATCGAAAGCATTTCCAAGATGCAGAGGCATTCGGGATTTGGATTCCATCATGCCTAGGCTACTTAAATCTTCCTTACACTGTCATCGGTAGTTGCTTTATCTATTATCACCTCTGGGAGAAGCTGTCCTGTAGGCGACAGGAGCACAGGTGGTCCTCCTACCAAGGAAACCACCCCATTGCAGTCCACACTGCTCTGCATCTTCCCATTCATTGGAAACATGGTCTGACTAATGTTGCTGCTGCGACGTTCGCTATGGCTGCGTACAACAAAATAGGAACCGTTCCGGCTTCCGTTTTCTTCAAAGGTGCTGTGTTCACTATCAGCATCGGAGCCTCCTTCGACGGTTGGGCTTTTGAAGCTGGAGAAGCTGGCCCTGCTATTGCTCCTTGTGGGGAACAGTATTGACTAAGGAGACAGAAATGAAACCATCAAGCGAAAACTTGTAAATCGTATACGAATCTCAGTTGGATGATGCTACCGTGTTTTCCTGATAATAAGACAGGGTCTTACCGTATTTTTCAGAGTATAAGACGCACCAAGGTTTTGAAGAGGCAAATTAAAACAAAAGTGTTTGCATTCTGCAAACCCCCCCAAAACAGCCCATTTTTTGCGAAAACGGGCCTGTTTTTTTTTTAAAAAAAGGGTCTTTAAGAGAGTGCTCCTGGGGGGGGGGGCGAGCAAAAAATGGCTTGGTTTTTTTGCCAAAATGAGACCGTTTTTTTTTGTCAAAAAAAAAAAAAAGGGGCATGATAGCCTTTAGGAGGCTTATAGGGTGCTCCAGAGGGGTGGGGTGGAGAGCAAAATTGAGCAAAAAGGAGGCCATTTTTTGCTCATTTCTGCCTTCCCCAGCTCCCAGGAGCTCTCTGAAAGCCTCCATAAGCTATGCACATCTATTTTGGTGAAGGGGGCGGGGTTTCAGGAGGCAAAAAATGCTGTATTCAGTGTATAAGACAGAAAAAGATGGGTCTTTTACTCCAAAAAATATGGTATTTTCTTTTGACCCCAAAATAAGTGCTTGGCCTTACTTTTGGGGAGGTCTTATTATTTTTGAGGTGCAGGAGGTGGTGAGCATGGTAACTTCATGGCTGCTGCTATGTTACAATATTTTGGGGAGGGCTTATTTTTGGGGAGGGCTTATTTTAGCACATGTGCTTAAAAGACCGATTGGGCTTATTATCCAGGGAGGTCTTATTTTCAGGGAAACAAGGTAGCCAATAACTTTGAGAGGAAAAGTACAATTGATCTTATTGAAAAGCACAGTTGATCTTAAGTATGATGTGATCAAACTTCTAAACTGATTTCATGGGAATCAGGCATGCATAAAAGAATGCAGGTTTGACTCAGAAATGGGGAAGTGGAACCGCAAGCCATTATAAAAAGATTCCCAAGTCCTGAGTAGAAAACATGAGAAAGAAATTCAAAACTTTCCAACATTGTTTTCTACCACCCCCATATACTTCCAAGGATACACTGTATAATCTCAACTTATCCTTTGTTTGCGAAGAAAGTCATACTTCCAAATTGAGAACAACCACTATTTTCATTTTCTAGAAACACCTATATGGCTGTGTGAGGCTTATGGGCTTTCTTAGGAATGTGATTAATAGTGTTTTGAAATACAATGGCTGCTCTATTTTTTTTTAAACTAAAAGAACGTTTAAGAAGTAATCAAAATCAACATGGGCCAATAGCTTGACACATATCAAGAGCAATGTCCTTGGGCACTATTCTCCCCCCCATCCCAAATTTCAATAAATGCTAAAAGGTACTTCCAAACACATCCAATTTACTGCATGAAAGGCCTATCAATAAAGCTCTATATATATTATTAAAGGAAAATTCAACTATAATTAGTGGTTCCACTGAGATGATCACGTGTAACTGGTAGAATCCTTGTGCTATCAAGTTCTTATTAATAAGTAATGAAAATGTCCATACGGTACACTTAAATAAATTATTTTGCTATTCAGATACTCAGTATTGGGGATCCCCAATCCCCAAGCTGGTCCACGGCCTTTTAGGAACCAGGCACACAAGTGAGTGAAATCTCATCTGCGCATCCACGCAATCTAAGTAGCGTGTGAAACTATTACCAGCACCGCCCCAGTCCGTGGAAAAATTGTCTTCCATGATCCCTGGTGCCAGAAAGGGTGGGGACCACTGCTCTACTATCTTTGTTAGAAAAATCTTATTCCTCTTTCCCCAAATTTCATCCTATTATCTGTACCTCTTTTCTAACTATTTGGCTTTCTAATAACAAAAAGATACCATTGTTTTTAAGTTCCTTGTGCTACTGCAAGTAATGACAAGAACCTGAAGCCCAGAAGGAAACAATATATTCATATATGTCTTTCCTTGCATGAAGACCACCAAGTGTCTTTCAGGCCCTCATCTGCAACAATTTCGATAGATACATCCACAAGATATCTGACCTGGTATGGAGAAATGACCCTGCTTTCATATGCGAGTCTATTCCCTTCCAAGGAAAATCGAAATCCTTTCCTTCGGATGCTACTATCCGATTCTGATTTTGGAAACATTTTGTTGTTCCCTCCAGGTTCGCCGACAGACAATTCTCTTTGCCGTCTTTTTTTCCTTCGGTTTCTTCTTTCTTTAGCACTTTTGGAACTTGATAATTCTGAAGATGTTTCGGAAAGTCTTCCAAGAGTGCCATCGTCCCTGAAATCTTTGTAAGCTGCTGCTGCCATCAGTGCCTGTCGTATGAAGGAATCACCTGTGTTAAGTGCTCTTCCCCCAATTTAATTATTTAGCATGATGCTTACTACTGCCAAAGTAGTAAGTAGAATAATACAATGATACAAATGTTGCTCTATTTTTTTTAATTATGTATTGTTCTATACGTCATTGTATGTATCCCTTCCTACATAAGTTGTAAGCCGCCCTGAGTCCCCTCAGGGAAAAGGGCGGCCTATAAATAAACTTATACTATACTATACAAGTGGGCAAAAAACCCAACAACATGTATGTATCAAAATATTAGCAAATGGACATACACCAAAATAGCGGCTCTTAGTCTTTTTGTTTCATAGATCTCTTTGAGGGTCTTGTGACACTTATGGATACCTTCTTAGAAAAATGTGTGAAGTCAAATACATAAATAGATACATACATGTTACAAAGGAAATCATTATCCCCAACTACAGGTACCAAAATATTTTAAAAACAGCAATCTGCCACTGCCTCCCAGCAATTTGCCTCCTTGCAACAAACAGCAAACAGTACAGATGATATACACTGTTTGTGGTGTATTTCTGTGCATGTGTGCCTGAGCCATAGAAATAGCAAAGAATTGGAGAAATGTAAATTATGG